ATTTTTGCTTTCTTAGACAGTCTCTGCCACTGCATCACTCTGATTATTAGTACAAGAAGTCTCACATTTAAAGTGTCTTCCTTGTTTTGCATCCATTATTCAGCAGCCTAACTCTCCCCTGGGCAATACAGAGTAAGTTCTGAGACCTTTAAATGAATCAAAAAGCTGGGCCAGTGTGTCTCATGCCTGCTCTTCTTGGAATAATTTCTGAGGTTCACCCACACACCCAAACCTCCACTCTCCCCACTCTTAAAATGATATATGGACCAGCCGCAGGCTTCAACAATTTTATTATATTTTTTATGTGATTAATTTGTAAAGGAGCCATTGTGTATATGTAAGGTTAGATACAGGCTTATCAGTGGGATAGCACACATGACAATGAGTGAAAGTGTGTATAGGCTGCCAGGAGATTGCAAAGGTGCTATAGATAGCTTAAATCCAATCCTCTTTTCTGCTGAGAGAATATAGTGATGAAAACTGAGATGGGCTGTGACAATTTCTGTGCTGCTCCTGTGAGACATTAAAAGAGGTGGGGATGCTTTAAAAGTGGTGTTTTCACCACATATAATAGTACTGATTTTTCACTCATTTTCAGGCAATTCTTTGTACCTGACCATTTTCACAGGAATGTTTTGTTTGTTAAACCACTTAAAATTCACTTATTTATCATTTAACCATTGACACAGTCAAATTTATTAGAGCTGTAGTCATAGGCATGAATGCCATTGTAGTTTGGGCATGTTTTAAAATGTTCTTATCCCAGTGTGGAAAGGTTGGGGCTTTGTGAAGCCGTTCCATAATGGTAGCTTGCTTCATCCATTCTAATGATTTATGTTTGTTGCAATACCCAAATGTGTCCAAGTTCCAGCTGTCTAGCTGTTGATTTGCGATGAAGTTGAAGAGTCTGGAGGTAGTCCTCCTTCTCCAGTACTGCACTTTATGTAATGTTTAAGTACCAGTAGCAGCAAAACAACCCCAGAGCATGATGCTTCTTTCCACCATGCTTGACAACTTTGTCTCATCTGACCATAAAACTTATATGGTAGGAGGAATTTGGTTTGTCTTTGCTAATTTCAGTCAAGCTCGAAGGTCTTCTTTTCTTGGTTGGCACCCTCTCTATGCTGTGTTCCAGCAGTTTCCAGTTGATGGCAGACTTCAGCCTTGTGGGTTCCGGGGTAATTCCTGAACATCCTAACCAATTTCCTCTCATCTGGGTATGACAATTTTTGTCTATCTCCAGACTAGGGGTGGGCGATGTAAACGATATACGATAGAAACTATATCAATTTGGCCAACGATAGAGATTTTGACTATATTGCTCTTTTGTGATAGCACATGTTGATGATGTCATCAAGCTGCACCTGTTTTGGTCGAAAGCATCGCAGCGGCTACAACCATTATCATCTGCAAATTATGCCGGGCGTCAGTCATGGCAAAGAGATGAAGCACTTTTGAAATATGGGGAAAGCCAAAAACCGCGC